AAAAAAAAAGAAGAAATAGGCAATGAAGCTTGGCTCTCTGGTTTGAAGTGGACTTCACTAAGATAGAAACTGTAAAGAAAAAGCAAGGGTGGGTGAGTCTAGGCATGATTAGTTCAATTTTAGAAGTATAGATGTTTGCAAGATGTCGAGATAGGAATGCTCTACAGGCATTTGGACACAACTGCTTGACAATCAGAACTAAGCTAAAGATTTATAATTGAGAGCCACTCACATGTAGATGATTATTGAAGCCATAAGGGTACATGAGATCTTTGATTGAGAATGTGTAGAAAAAGAGAAGGCTTCTTAAAGAACCATGAGGAATCCCACCATTTAAGAAGGAATTGGCAAAGGTATAGATATTGAAGCTTTATTAATGGTTATCAGGGACAGGAGGCAGAAGGAGAGGGGAATCTTGTTTAGAAAGCAATGAGTTTCTGATTTAGTGATAGAAAATTTGACAACAGTTACTGGTGATAGTTGCATAGTATGTTTAATGTAATTGATAATACTAAAATGTACATGTAAAAAACGTTGCATTGGCAAATATTGTGTTACATGTATCTTTACAACAATCTAAAAAGAAGAGCCTGAAAAGAAAACTTGAGTTGAGAACCAGCCTGATTTTGTGCTAATTTGTTGATGTTGGGACTTTATATACAAGTAAGAATGTTTCTGTTTGCCTTACTTGTTAAAATATATTAATATAAAACTAGTAATTGAATTTGTTGGGGTTTCTTTTTTTCCATTAATAGATGCAGATGAATAAAACTCAAAGTCTGGACCTTAAAGAATTTGGCTTTACTCCAAAATCTTCCCTTCTGAATGTATCAAGGTACAAATATAATGTTAATATCTAAGGTAAAATTTTCATCAGAAACTCTCCATTGCTCCAGATACTCACTTATTCATGGAAGGATGATCACTGGCTACCCTCAGTTACAGAGATTGTTTGTTTAGTTCCTCAGATAATGATTCCATAAGAGTTTTTTGCTTTTTTTCCCCTTAACTCCCTCCCCGCCAAAGAATTTCTTTTTTTAAATACCCTATACTTATTTAGATATTTTTCTGTGCCCTAAATTTATTTAGAACCAGCTACATAATACTTTACATTCATTATATTATCTCTTTTCTGGGAAATTACACATTTTACACACTGCCCCTTCAGGTTATTTCTGGCTTCTTAACTTACCAGGTAACAAGAGTATACTTACAAAAGGGAAATCATGTTTTTGTGTGAAGTGTAATTTTTTTATCTATAGACCCACTCCATAAAATCTCAGGATAAAGAAAGTTACAGTCTCAGAAACCTACAGGGGTCATTCTACCATGTCCGATAGAGTGCTCTGAGACAAAATTACTCGATGCCACTGAGTGCTTGAGCCATGATACTCAGATTTATAAAGTACTTTCTTATTTAAATTGTGTTTTTGTTCATCATTGCTTCTGACCTGAGCAACAACCTGATTGTATCCCATTTTACAGATCAAATATCCAAGGCCCATGCTCCCTGTAAAGAAGCAGAAGGCCCTAATTCTCAATGTTTTTTCCTTATATTATGAGTCCTTGAAGGTAATAAACTCCAAACCAAGCTTTAACTTTTTACAGGAGTAGAAAGCCTCATCTTTCTCCCAAGGAGTAGCTAGTGATTTTGAACTACTGACCTTGAGGTTAGCAGGCCAACATGTAACCCATTATGCCACCAGAGTCCTTAGAAGGTAATAAAAATACAAAACAAACCCACTGCTGTTGAGTCAATACCGACTGATAGCGACCCACTGTGGATCTCCAAGACTGTAACTATTGACGGGGATAGAAAGCCCAGATTATCTCCCTTAGAACTGCTGGTAATTTCTAACTGCTGATCATGTGGCTTGCAGCCCACAATAACCACTACTAGAAGGCAATAATATACATAAATTCAGATAAGGGTCTTCATTAGGGGTAGCATACAATATATTTAAAAATCAATACAGAATAGGCTCTTACCAATCAAACAAATGCCAGCATTACTTTGAGAGGTCTTATCTTGTGTTATATAATGAAAAGTGGCATTAGCAATAGTTGTTTTAGGCTGTATTTAGATATATCTGTTGATATGCAGGAATAACCAAGTGTGGGTCACTTCTGTTAAACACCTGTTGCTACCTGGGTTAATACAGTTTAGTCAAAGAAGTGCTGAGTGGGCAAAGCATATTTATTTATTTGTATAAATAGTGACTTTTAAAAGTCAGATTAAATTTGATATTTTCTTAAGCATTTGTTATGGTTTTATTTATGTTTACAAAGATCAGAATATTCAAACATACATGAATTGCCTATAATGGAGCAATGGGAGCAGCATGAAATTTGTGGAAAATATCACCAAGAACCATCTAAATCTCAAAACACAGGTAAATTACTATCGGTATGTGATTTGAGAAAGAATATATTTCATCATGCCTAAGATTAACCAGTAATGTTACTAAAAACTCAAATATCTGAAATTATGCTTATTAATTTGGCAATTATCATGGGCTATTGAACTGATTTTAAATTCTTGGTCTGTTTTTCCAGATGGTTCTTCTAAAAAAATTCTTCCCTACATAGTGTTGAACTGTTTTTATTTAAAAGATAATATGAAAAGAAACTGGAAAAATAAGCATTCCTTTAGTATCCTAAGTATTAAAATGCTGAACTATTCCTTTTAGAAATCTTTAGAATTGTTTTTAATTATCTTTGTGTTTATAAAATTAGTCCAGTTATACAAAATAACTGTGGCCTTGGGAACTTATCTACCCTCTTTGAGATTTAAAATGAAGGGATTGGATTTAGTATCTCTCTTCAGTACTTTGCCTTTGGTTCTTAACTCTATGATGTTATAAGAATATATATAGCCTTGGTGGGAGAGTATCCAAAAACCAAACCAAGATCATTGCCATCGAATCAGTTCCAACTCCTAACAATCCAATAGGACAGAATAGAATTGCCTCTGTGAGTTTCTAAGACTGTAACTCTATCGGAATAGAAAGCCTCCTCTTTCTTGCATGGAGCTATTGGTGGTTTCAAACTGCTTAGCTTGTGGTTAGCAGTACAGCATGTAACCCCTATATCGCCAGGGCTCCTGGATGTGGTTCTGATATAGTTGGTGGGTAATCTAGATTTCTTTTATATCTCTGTCATTAACTTTGAAATAATGCAGATGAGTTCTTCAACCCTGTCCCTGGTTCATTATTACTCTGGACTCCACCATTCATAGCATTATTTCTTTGGGTCATCCTGTGCTAAAATATGTGAGAGAAAATCTTGACATTGAGTTGTTTGTTCAAATGTCTGTAGGCTTAAATGGTTAGCTTGAGGTTTCCTGCAAATAGTTGTGTGTACATAGTATTAGTGCCTACTGCCATCATTATATGCTTTCCTAGGTATGATTTTAGTATCTTAGCAAACGATGGAGTACCCACCACCTCTTATGACAACTGGCAGCCATTAGACTCAATATAAAATAAATAAAACCCTCCTTATTTCACCTAGTATATAAAAGCATTCAATCAACTTGTTCAAACCATAAATAACATTTCAACATGAATAGGTATATGCTTGCCAATGCTCTCTTGTATTTAGGTCCAACTTACATCCCTTTAGTTTATTCCATTTTTTACTACCACTCTATTATTCTCTGACTTCTTCATATTAGAGTTTATTCTACTTTCTGCTTACTTTACACTGCCTTTACTTATTTTCCAATGTTTACTTATTTTCCATTTAGTATTTACATTTTGACAATTTACATTATGACATAAAAGACACATATTGAATTTTTCCCCTGATTGTAACTGCATACCCTTTTTTAATTAATGGGTCATGTTTTCTTGTAAAGAAGGAACCTATATAATAGTAGTTAACAGAATTTATAATCTAAGTATAACTCTATTGGTAGAAATGTAAACTTTCACAGTACACTTAATCACTTTGTATCATTTTTCGCATTTGGCTATATTTAGGATTGTGTCAATTAGATAATGTGTATATAAAGCTCTTAACATAGTGTCTGGTACTACTGTAATTAAAAATGGACAAACAACAGAAATATGGGTGAAGGGAGACAGCAGACAGTGTAAGATATGAAATTATTTTCATTATATTTTTTACACACTAGTCTTTGGTAACAAAACATAATTTTAATGTATTCAAATACTACTTTTTGAGAATATTTTAAGAAATAATGTTAATTTTTATTAACTGCATTCCATTTTCAAAATAAGAGGGGGGGGGGAATCTCAGAAATCACTTGAGAAAGCATGTTATATCATAGAATTTAAATTGGAAGTGACCTTTATGTAATTTCTCATCTTATAACGAAAGAAGTCACAATTCAGAGAGATTAAATGATTTGCTCAAGATCATATACCTAGTTAATGACAGGGCCAGAAGTTGATCCTGTATCTCTTGATAATATTTCAATGTCATTTCTATAAATCAAAATTGACTTTTAGCTAACAGTAGAAAATTAAAAATTGAACATATATGATTCCTCCCTCCAACTACCATCACTCCAGTTATACCTTACAAATCCAGCTAGACTGGACCATGTACACTGGTACAGATAAGAGCTCTGAACACATGGATTCTAGGACAGATAAACCCCTCAGGAACAGTAGTAATGGGAGTAGTGATACCATGAGGGTAAGAGTAAGGTGTGGGGAGAAAAGGGAGAAACAGGCAACCAACTACACTGATCAACATACAGCACACACATACCCCATGAGGGGGACAAACAACAGAAACATGGGTGAAAGGAGACAGCAGAGGTGTAAGATATGAAAATAACATAATTTATCAAGTGTTCATGAGGGTAGGGAGGTGGGGGAGGGAGGGAGGGAGGGAAAAAGAGGAGCTAATCTCAAGGGCTCAAGTAGAAAGAAAATGTTTTGAAAATGATGATGGCAACATGGACAAATGTGCTTGATACAATTGCTGTATGGATTGTTATAAGAGCTGTAAGAGCCCCCAATAAAAAAATGAAAAAAATTGAATATATATGAACACTTTCATCTTTTCACCCCCCAACTATATATTTCTTTACTGTCACAACCATTGTTAACATTCTACCCATATTAAAAAAATTATTCTCTTGTTTGAGATTAATCTCTATATCTATAATCTCATTGTTTGGTCCTATTGAGTCAGTTCCAACTCATGGTAACCCTAGGTACATCATAACAAAACACCTTCTGGAAAAATCATCACAATTGCTGTTATGCTTGAACTCATTTTTGCATTTGCTGTGTCAATCGCCTTGTTAAGGGTTTTTCTCTTTTTTGATGACCTTGTTCTTCATCAAACATTATGTCTTCTCCAAGGACTGCTCTCGCTTGATAACATGTACAAAATGTAAAATAATTCTCATTCTCATAACTTACAAGGAGCAATCCAGTTGCACTTCTTTCCAAACAGATTTGTTTGATCTTCTGGCTTTCATGGTATATATTCAGTATTCTTTGCCAGTCCCTAATTCAAATGCATCTGTTCTTCTCCAATCTTCCTTATTCACTGTCCAGATTTTACATGTTTATGAGGCAACTGAAAATACCATAGCTTGGGGCAGGTACACAGTCCTCATAGTGACATCTTTTCTCCTTAACACTTTAACGAAGTATTTTGCAGCAGATTTGCCCAATGCAATATACCCACTTGATTTCTTGAATGCTGCTTCTATGAGCATTGACTGTGGATCCAAGTAAAATAAAATCTTTGACAACTTCAATATTGTCCCTGCTTATCATGATGTTGTTTATTGGTCTAGTGTGAATATTTTTGTTTTATTTAAATTGAAGAGTAATCCATACAGCAGCTTTGATCTTCAGCAGTAAGGGCATCAAATCCTCTTCTTTTTCAGCAAGCTAGGTTTTGTTGTCTGCATATTCACAGGTTGTTAATGAGCCTTTCTCCAGTCCTGATGCCATATTCTATTATAGTCCAGCTATTTGGGTTATTTTCTCACCATGAAGGTTGATTAAGTATCATAAAAACAGTACAATTCTGATTTATACCTTTCCTGATTTTATATCACACATTTTCCCCTCGCTATCTTCAAACTACTGCCTCTTAATCTTGTACAGGTTTTATATGAGCACAATGAAGTGTTCTGAAATTCCGATATTTCTTAATGTTTTATCAATAGTTTGTTAGAATACATACAATTGAATATCTTTCTATAATCAAAACAAAAAATATCTTTCTGGTATTCTCTGTTTTCAACCAATATCCATATGACATTAGCAGTGATAATCCCTTCTTCCATATCCTCTTCTGAATTTGGTTTGAATTTCTGTCAGCTTTTTGTTGATGAAATACTACAACCATTTTCAGTTTTTCTTCAGTAAAATTTTACTTTCATGTGATATTAATTTTCACATTTATTGGGTCATATGCCTTTGAAATGGGTACAAATATGAATCTCTTCAGATCAGTTGGCCTAGTAGCTCTCTTCCAAATTTCCTGGCATACAAGATTGAGTACTTTCAGCACTGCATCAGCTTGTTGAAACTTTTCAACTGATATTCAGTCAGTTCCTGGAGCCTTCAATTCAATACAGGCTTCTTTCAATATCATTGGTTTCCGTCACATGATACCTTTTGAAATTGTTCAATGTGGACTAATTCTTTTTGGCACAATGACTGTGTAGTCCTTTCATCTGCTTTTGGTGTTGTACGTATTATTAATGTTTTCTTCATAGAATCCTTCAATATGGCAACTCGAGGCTTGAATTTTTTTAAATCATTTTATTAGGGGCTCATACAACTCTTATCACAATCCATACATGTATCAATTGTGTCTAGCACATTCGTACATATGTTGCCATCATCATTCTCAAAACCCCTGCTTTCTACTTGAGCCCTTGGCATCAGCTCCTCATTTCCCCCCTCCCTCCCTGCTCCCCCCTACGCCCTGAACCCTTGATAATTTATAAATTATTATTATTTTGTCATATCTCACACCATCGGACGTCTCCCTCACCCACTTCTCCTCTGTCCGTCCCCCCGGGAGGAGGTTTTATGTAGACCTTGTAATCTGTTCCCCCTTTTTCCCTCACCTTCCCTCCACCCTCCTAATATCGCCACTCTCTCCACTGGTTCTGAGGGGTTCATCTGTCCTGGATTCCCTGTATTTCCAGTTCCTATCTGTGCCAGTGAACATCCTCCGGTCCCGCCGGATATGTAAGGTAGAATTGGGATCATGATAGTGGGGGAGGAAGCATTCAAGAACTAGAGGGAAATTGCATATTTCATCGTTGCTACACTGCACCCTGACTGGCTTGTCTCCTTCCTGCAGCCCTTCTGCAGCCCTGCAAGGGGATGTCCAATTTCCCACAGATGGGCCCTGGGTCCCCACTCCACACTCCTCCTCATTCACAATGCCATGACTTTTTTTTTTTTGTCTTTGTTAGAACAAAGTGTTCTTGTGTTGAGGGAGTACTTG